AACCAAATATAGCATACCCAGACATCAGCATTTCTGGCGATGGTTAATGCATATATGCAACCCCGACAAAAGCCGTCACCGTAGATGTGATGAAAGGGAAACTTGGCATATGAAAGATTGCACAGAAAAAGACTTCACTGTCAGTTCAACCACTATCAGTTATGAAATTGGCAACAATAAAATGTCCCCGTGCACAACAAATCCCCATCAAATAATAAAGCAGCATATAACTCCACAGTAAAAGCGGTTATCATCACAGTCTGGCATTTTGTATGGATGCACCCAGCAGGATAATAGTCCCTCAAATGCATTAATACCCAAGTTAATATTTGCAGGAACTGCGTGCCGCTATGAAAGTCAGAATGGGCCAACATCCCTGGGCGAAGTTGAATCAGTACTCGAAGGAAGCCGGGGTCATTTTAGGGGGAAACGGCTTACTCTGCTGATTCCGTCTTGCTCTGCAACCCGTTGTTGGAGTTTTGTGGCAACGGCAGAAAGTCTCTCAGCTTGGAAGGCGGCAGGTCAGATACGTGAGCTGCTCGTCATCTAACTGAGAGACATTCGACTGTGATAACTCATTTCAGTTTCATCTTAAGCACGGGCGTCTTTCATTTGACTTGGCACTTCTTTTTGTTGATTGTTCGTGTTATTTTCCTTCACATAAATCCTTCACACACATGATTTTTTTTTTCAATGTATTTTTAGCAAGAGCCAGAGGGCCCCAAACCAAAATATTCATGGCAAATGAGTCCACCTCTTGTCCAATCCAAGTTGAAGATTTTTTTGAATGACATTTCGTAAAACGACAAACACTGTAATTGGCTGTGATTGGTCAAATACACACTGCTGCATTTCATCCAACATTGTTTCAGGTCCATCATTCAACCGCTGTCATCCTTTTCCAACTGGAGCACTTTGTTTGAAACGATTACCATAATTACTAATGACACAAATAATGACAAAAAGTAACTGCAATGACAGTATATCTTGACAATAGGAACACGATTAGCATAGATCTGTTCCACTTCTAACAAAACAAAGTGTTGCAGTGACAAAAAAAAAAAAAAAACCCACACCAAAAACAAAAAACCTTAAAATAGATCATTCAGATTGATTCGCTCAGTTCATTTGAACATGCCACACTTTATTTTCTCCCTCGTCTCCCCCTACACATTCTCTTGCCCACGGCGTCATTAATAACGAGGCATACTGCGCTCCAAGCTATGCAATGCCCTTCATCGATATGTGATCAAAGGAATACTTCCGAACCATTCATGTGGTGTCGTGTGAAGAATCTACGTTCACAATACGTGCCGTCGATAATCTTCACGCAATGGAGAAGACAAACTCGCTGGCCACGACACGAAGTACGCCTGCACAAAAACATTGTCAAGGATTCCGCTTCCGCAAAGACACTGAACTCCGACAGGAGAAGGCGTCAAGTTCAAGGCCCGTGGGGCTCGATGTCATTTGGTCCGTGTGAATCACGTCATCCAGTAGATACGAAGCGCCGCTTGCTACAGCCCTTCTGTCTGGATGTCATGAGATTTCACAAGTGTACCTCGTGTTGTGTCCAATGAGCGTACGCCAAGATAAAGCATCGGGATAAAATAGTCTGGATGCCCGTCAGAACCGATACAGCCGTAAGACCTGCCAGATTTTGTACATCCAAGCAAACAATGGGCCAGGGTAACCTGCCATCTCCTGAGATCTAAAATGTCTCAAGAGCTGAGCTTTAAAATGTCAAGGCCCCCAAGGGTCCAAGTGCTCTCTGATGAGCAATTTTACTGGAGAAATCTGTCGGGGTTCAACGAGTGCGCCATTGCCAATTGACAACTGTGTTTTGTGGCCCGTGAAAAGGACGTGTCATGTTGTCTCGGTCAATCGGAGTTCCCCCTTTCTGACGATGCAAAAGTGATGCTCAAGGTGGCAGGAAGTCGATTTTTCTAGCTCATCCTTTGTTTCTTAGTTGAACAGAAACCGTTCTTTGCTAACGTTCCCCTGCGGAAGGCATTCATTTGCCCTTTCTCAACAAAACCACACCCGAGGGGACCCAAGTGCAGGCTGGAGGAACAAACAAACAAACAAACAAACACATACACAAACACTGGAAAGTACAATGCCAGGAATCACTGGCGAAGAACTTTTTAATCTGTCTTCGGGCTACTTGCATGCGCGTTGGTGTGTGGGTGTTTGCCTTACTGCCGTCTGCCTGTGAAGGTAAAAGGTGTGCAGACTGAGCGGGACACAATATGTGTCAGCCAGAGAGGGAGAGAGGACTACTGAGGGAGAGCCGGTGGAAGGGAAGTGAATGAAAAATTCATACGGCTGCAGGTCCCAAAAGCCCTTCTGTCTTTGCCAGGAGTGCTCGGTTTCAAACAGCCGGGGCAGGAGCTGTGGGACTGTGCCAAAGAGATAGTAGGCAATCGCACACATGCATTCAAAAAGGAAGAAGGCCAGAGGATGTTCTTATCTCGGAATCGGGAGTCAACAGCACAACAACATCAGTACTTAGCAGCACAGTTTTCCAAAGAGCTTTGCGAGAGTCCCCCGGATCGCTTTCTCACGCAACCCGTCACGGTTTGTCTTTGATCGCTCCAAAAAGTCATGCGAAATGAATGGGGGATTCGGCCCTTGGCCTTGACACTGTCCTGAAAAGTTCGGATTCATGATTAAAATGCTTGCTGGCGATGAACCACATTGGCACGCGCCAGTGAATAAATAGAAGGATGTTCATTTTAGGTTATAGTTGAAGAAAAATGAAGGTACAAACAGCCTTGAGATGAAAACAAAAACAAAGTGAGGGAAGAACCGCAGTGTTGCCATAGCCACCGCGACGTCCTTACGCTCGCTGCCAAAGCGCAAGGGTAGAGTAGGCAGAGTGAGGGTGCGGGGGCTTGGGGGGAGCGATGGAACTTTTAAAGCTCTCTTGCACTGTGCAAAACTGGGTCAGCAACACATACAGAGTACCCAAAAGTCTCAGCTCAACTCATCCGCATGCTGAGGATCAAGCACTTGGGTGAAATGACGTCGTCCAGAATGGTGGCGTTTGCCCAGGGCCCAAACAACCCACCAGAGAGACCAAAACACACACCGCACGTTTGACTTGGACTGCCAAACCATGAGGAGATTAACATCCACAGTGAATCCTAATCAAGCTTGTCAACATAAATCCTTCAAATGTTGAGTCATTTCATTTCAATGGACTGAACTGCGCTTCCACGTTGGAATGGTATC